TTTTTGAACGTTTTATGCGACGTGCAGCAAGTGTATGTTAGCTTATGTCCCACCGGTACATATGTACGCATCTAACCTCCGAACCATGCAGCAGATTCGTTCTGAATGAATCTCTTCCCAAATCGTCCCTCCATAACATTTTCGTCTCGTTTTTATTCGTTGACGAAAATTTCAATAGATTTACGTCATAGTTTTTGTCATTCAAAAAGAGTTTGTTCATTATCATCGGTGAAAAAAATGTCGTTGACGAAAATTATGACGAAAATGATTTGTCAACTAAATTAACACTGCTGGATACAGATACTGGACAAAGTAATTAAAAAATAAATTTTTTTTGCTTAATTTCTACCCTATAATTCAGTGCTTGACTTATCTAGAAAATAATATTTATTATAAAAATGCTCAGGGAATATTATCATTTTGTTAACATCACTTTTACAATTGGGATACCTCAGGGCTGGAAGATATGGCCAAAAATCATATCTATGTATTTTTTGACTGGTATGGGTTTATTTTCTACATTTTTCTATTTGGATGAATAAATCTGTATTTATTTATAAAAAATAAATAAATAAATAAAAGTTATTTTTAGTGCTATCAAACGATTAATCGTATCCAAAATAAACGTTTGTTTACATAATACTTGTGTGTTTATTGTGTATATTTATTATGTATATATAAATACACACATACAGCATATATTTTGAAAATATTTACATGTATATTTTTATATTTATATAATTTATATCATATATAAATATATTTAACATATAAACATAAAATTTTTCTTAAATATATATATTTCAGTGCTTGACTTATCTAGAAAATAATATTTATTATAAAAATGCTCAGGGAATATTATCATTTTGTTAACATCACTTTTACAATTGGGATACCTCAGGGCTGGAAGATATGGCCAAAAATCATATCTATGTATTTTTTGACTGGTATGGGTTTATTTTCTACATTTTTCTATTTGGATGAATAAATCTGTATTTATTTATAAAAAAATAAATAAAAAATAAATAAAAAAAAGTTATTTTTAGTGCTGTCAAACGATTAATCGTATTCAAAATAAACGTTTGTTTACATAATATTTGTGTGTTTATTGTGTATATTTATTATGTATATATAAATACACACACACAGCATATATTTTGAAAATATTTACATGTATATTTTTATATTTATATAATTTATATCATATATAAATATATTTAACATATAAACATAAAATTTTTCTTAAATATATATATGCATGTGTGTGTATTTATATATACATAATAAATATACACAGTACACACACATATACTATGTAAACAAAAACTTATTTTGGATGCGATTAATCGTTTGACAGCACTAGTTATTTTACACCCTGATCAATGTTGTCTAATGAAACAATGCTTATATTAAAGGCTATAAGAACAAATAAAGTGAATGTAATCATGTAGACCATTGTTTCTCAACCCTGGTCCTGGGCACCCCCAGCACTGCACATTTTGTGTGTCTCCCTAATCAAACACACCTGATTCAACTCATTAGCTCATTAAAAGAAACTCCAGGACCTGAAATGGGTGTCAGATAAAGGAGACATACAAAATGTGCAGTGTTGGGGGGCGCTCAGGACCAGGGTTGACAAACACTGATGTAGACTATATATATGCTATATATTGAGTGCAAAAAAAGGTTAAAATCATATTACATTCTAACACTGTAACATTACAATCTAAAACAAAAATAATGCTTTTTAAAGGAGTTACATTTACTACACTAAAAATGGAAAAAATGAAAAAACAAACAAACGAAAGCTATTAGGCTATTTTGATTACAATAGACAATTTACAGTTAGTGCCATCATAAAAATACACTTACTTGTAAGTTTAAAATTCTACGTCACATTTACACATTTAACAACAAATATTTTAGCTAAATGTAGATTTTAGTGAGAATTTTTGTACTCATTTCAATCAAAATCACCCTATTTACTTAAATGTGGTGATAACGCTCACCTTAAGGTCCTGTTCTGCTTTCAGAGCAGCCTGTGTGCCACGGGGTGCAAATGAAGGACCAGAAGGTCCACGTGGAGGATGCTGGGGTCTAGGATGGGGCATCAGACCCCCACTCAGATTAGGGGACATGGGTGGACCCATGGGTGAACGCTGTACCCCTCCAGGAAATGAGTTTGCATGGGGTTGACGCACCAATGGAGACACCATGTTAGTCTGAGACAGCATCTGTTTATGTGACAGACAGGAAATGCTGTTAATGCACAAGAAGTGTGATCAAATTAAATTTCCAACAACTTACTTTCTGTCTGTAGTAACTGACCTGTGGGTTGAACGGTCCTGGGAAGTGCTGGGCAATGCGCATTCCTGCAGATCCCGACTGGAACTGTTTGGGATACAGCATGCTGTTTATCCTGCTAGACTGACTACAGGGGCTTGTGGAGCTCACCCTGAGAACACAAACGAGGAAGCTGTCAGAAAACATACAAAATACGGCTACAACAGATCAGGGATATGCATCCAGTGTGCATGAAGGCCATGACACAACAAGTCGACCGTCATCTGTTGGCCAATATCGGGCTGACGTTCAGCATTTGTTCTTGCAATGTGTTCTGTACAGCTGCCACAAGTCAAAGGCTTTGCTGGCAACTCAACATGCTCAATCGGCTGAAGAGCTCATCAGTGAGAGATATTGCTTTGGTTGTTCAAGCTTAGCAAACCAACCAACCAACAAGAAGCAAAAAACAAGAGGCGAAAGCAAGCAAACGGCAAAGTTAAGAGGGAACAAACTAAGCAAGCACAGCTTTGCTTACCTTTTGTACACTACTGGTTGAAAGGACAACAGAATTTGTTTCTTTCCATACACTACAATTTAAAGGTCCCATATTTTCAAAACTTTCAAAAGCTTTTTTCATGATAACTGAGGTCTAGGTGCTATGTAACTACCATATAAGTTTCAAAACAGTCAATCCACAGACAAATGCACACAGCCTGCATAAAGTAGCTGTGCCTTTTCACGAGCCGTTGTGACTTCCGAAAAAAGGTGACGTCAGAACTACACAGTCACCGCCTTCAGTCACCACCCCGAGCACTGCCCATCGTCCCACCCTCCTTTTGCCAAACCTCCAGACAACATTG